CTAAAGCATACATTGAACTAGAACAAGCTGTATCCAATAAATATGAGGGCCCTTGTAAACCCAAACTGTATGAAATGCGGTTTGGCAACATGGCACGACTGCAGCCCGTTATGCCGAAACCCCCAGATGACGCTCTTTCATAGAACCAGGTCTTTTCAGATTCGGAGATGCAAGCTCCTACGAAAACTCCCGTCCTAGTCCCACGTAAGCTTTTTGGATTTATACCGGCGTCAATAACAGACTCATAAGCAGCTTCAATCAATATTCGTGCTTGAGGATCCATTGTATGGCATTGTTTAAAATGTACTCCAAAAAACGCTGCATCAAATTTCTCTAAACCATCAATTTTTCCACTCCGTTTAGGAATCTCAGGATGAAAATGCCGCCAACGTCGTTCATCATCATCTATCATATCAATCTTCAAAAAAATTTAACAAGAAAAAAAAGTTTTTAAATGATATTGAAAACGCATAGTAAAACTTTGCCACAGTTTCAGATATCTTAGAAAGTCTTTTAATCCTTTTACTGCTAAAAATCTCATTTACAAGAAAACATATAAGCGAACCAACGGACAACACTAAGCCCATTCAGAATCTAACATTGTAGTTTGAAATATTTAAGGGTCTAAAACTTTTGAGAAATTGTTGATTCGTATTCTTCATATGGATGACCTGTACGCGTAAACTAGAAATACTTTCTCCTGCTAAGAGATGTTTTCCTCGAGAAAGTCAGTGGCCTTGTACGGCCTTTTGAAATTCAATTGGAAAACGTTTAAGAGTATATGCAGTTGAAGAGTACATACCTTGTTATACAGTTTATATTTGAGTTCAGCAACGTTCTCACAGCTGGGGAACTTTCCGGACATTCCCGAAATGACAATTTCATCTCCATCTGTTTCTGGATATATACGGGAAAATTTTTTGTCTTTACTTTTCACTTGAACGGTTACTTTATCCTTGAGATGTGGCATGTTTGCAGTGTTGTCAGTGTGTTATTCACGTATATTTCAATAGAGCAATGTGGAGAGATTTCAAACGATCATGCAGTCGTTTCAAAACTTAAACCGGTCGCGACTCTTGATCACTTTCAATTGAATTCAGCGGGAATTAGACGCCCTTTATATATTATTTAAACCGAATTAATTAAAATTATTTAAAATTTATTTACTTTCACATATAATAGAAAAGTATTAACGGGAATCGTACGATAATTATTAAAATCGCGTTTGTTTGACGAAACGGTATTAATTAGACATAATATGCATTTCCAATATAATTATGCATATATGAATGAATAATATTCGAAACTAAAAAAAAATTCAAATAATTTGAATGCAAATGTTTGCAGGCAAAAAGCAAGTAAAAACGCTGGCTTCGTAGGGGCAATAAAAGAAAGGCATGTCCGATTCGGACCATTTTTAATAGCACTCGTCCTTAGGTGAAAATATGTCGGTGCACAGCATTTCGTAAAAACATTTCCAAACCTGCGTCCTGTCTGTTGAATACAAGAACCCAAGATTGAACAGTTTAGATCAACTCAGAATCAATGTCTGACGCTTCTACCACCAATAATATAAGGCATTAATACTGTAATGAAATAAAATATTTAAAACCGTCTATCCTCTTTGAAATAATAAAAATGAATAAAAATTTTCGACGCTTCATCGGCCAAATAATAATTACGCTGTCGACAATCGACCAGAATCCCTTGGTAACAAACGAAAATAGAATGCCCGCAGTTAAGAGGACTTGAAAGAACATCAAAAAAAGGAGACAATACACGTATTGTATTCGAAGGATTTGCTCGACATAAGTAGAGGTAACTTGTGACATTTGGCGTTTGAAGAGAGACTAAACGTCGAAACGGAGAGTTCCATGCTCGGAAAGAGCTATCTATTGAGGAAAATAAGTTGTTGTAGCTTTGTAAAAAGCTTTTTCGTTTAAGACAGTTTTTCTCTAATTTTATGAGTAAAGTCCAAATTCCTGACACACTCTCAAGGGTGCGAATTTAACTTAAAAGATATTAAGCACTTAACGTAATCAGCAATGCGTTGTATCTACCAGCAACATTAGGCCGGTGCAGTTTGCCTTTATTCCAAATCAGCTTAAATTTATTAATAATAAATGATTTGTCGAACCAAAGTTCATTTTAAAATTTGTAAAAGAAAAAATTAAAATACGCTTATAATTACACATAATAATGAATAGTAAATAAGGAAAATTATAAATTTTCTTATTTAACGCATGAACTTTAATAATTGTAATGCCACACACTACCAAAAGCGTCATACATATTATTCGGATCACCATATGCAGCGTTGCTTCGATTATATGATTCATGTCGGTAATGTGCACACGAATATATACCGATTTATGAGACTAAATGCGGCTTCATTTAGATCGTACAACATGGAATTTGGAGAACTAACCTCGTTCACAACAAAGACAGCAAAGTTTCAGAGCGCTATAATTTCACTGTATGCGTTCGACCACTAGTAGTTGGATGAGTTTTCCCATTCATATGCTTGCTGGCTGCAAGTCTACTCCATAATCTAAGGAATCGCCAGAGTTGCTATCGCTTTGATTTCAAACCGATTGCGTACGTGTTTATGCTTGTTGATAGTGTACTTTCTCTCAGAATTTAAACAAGACAAGCAAAATATTGCGTGAAATGAAATGAAAAGCAACAATTTCGGACAATTATGGATGTGATTTTGAAAACATACAAACAACGATCGCGCGATAGGAAAAAATAAGAGAGCTTATAACATCATGCATGTTGATATGATGCATATCACGTGAAGACATGCTCAACGGTTTCTAAAATCATACGAACAATCAGACAAACATAAAAATATACATACAAGCAAACATGGTAATAGAAAAAAAGGGAGTTTATAAAATTACGCATTGTACATATCATATGAAGACAGGCTTAACGATTTATAAAGTCATACGATTTAGTAGCTAAGCCAGCACTAGCGATAAGATCATACGAGTCAGTACTTAAGGTAGTATTAGTGGACGCAAGCAAATATGTTCGACCAGACCTAAGGTAGTATACGTAAGAATAGGTACAGAGGAATATCATGGCAACACACATACAAGTCAAAGCATTCATGTAATGGGACAATGATGGTGGCCGCGACTATAAAAGAAGGCGTCTCAGCACGCTCAGCCTTTCAATTGTGTTATAGCAGCCAGAGGTAAGTGATCACAGACTACATAACTAGTTGACGTTACTGCCAGGTTTTTTTTTTTTTGACTATATCCAAAAGTATGTATACGAGCACTTGTTTTCTTTTTCCTTCACTGCTTATATTTACAATGCAATGTATATGTTCTCCTTACCATGTACAAAACATGAGGGAAGTGATCCATTCATTCTTCAGTGATTTAAATCATAATTATAATTAATGAGTATTACACACATTCACATACATGATTTGTTCGAGTGCTCGTAGATTACATTTTCTACGCTACGGAAACTTTAATAGTGGACACTACTCACTTGCTCTATGTGTCGTGTTTATTGTGAAATTTATCAAACAAAATTTCAAACTTCAAATTCTACTTAATATCGTGAATTAAGTAAATTCCATGATATCATGCTATGAAAGAATTGAGCTCTGGTGTCGAATGTGCCATGCCATGCCATGCCATGCCATTGCGCCATCCGATTCTCATCTCTTTCGTTCTCTGCAAAATTCTCTATCTGGATGACAGGGTAGAAAATTTGTTTGCTATAAAAGATCAGAACTTTTACGAGGAGGGGATGATGAAATTGCCTGAAACGTGGCAGCTTATGTTTGATTAAATTGAAAAATATATGAATTAATAAAGTTTATTCCTTATATAAAAATAATTATTTTATTTTATAATGAAAAAAGGCAAGAAATTTCCAGACAACCTAATGCATTTAAAATGTACATCCACCTAAGCAAACCTTTGTACACTGATGTATAAGATTTTCTCGTGATTCTTTCATAACGCGTGGATAGATTGCACAAAAGGATACAAAGATGTACGAATGCTGTTTCATCGTCAATCAACTACTATAAAAAGAGTAAAAGTGTTTTTCTCTCGTGAGAGAAAAGATCAAAGATCGCCGTCAAAAAACGTGATATGATATGTAACCTAAATCAGTTGCTTGCCAATTGTTTGTTGTACATTAAATGTGCTCTTAATATACAGAAAACAATGAAAGATCAAAAATTAGATGAACAATCTAAAAAAGACATAAAAGAGACTTCACTAGCGGTGGCAATGGCGCAAAATTGATATGCGAAATGGATGAACGGTAAGGATAAATATGGCTGCTGCTGCTCACCAAAAGTCAAAATGAATGTGCCCTTGGACATTCGATAGAAACACTACACGTAATAGAGTGTACACCATCGACATGTAATTCAAGTGCACCGACCGCCCTCCTCCTTATATTTCGCATTCTTTGCTTGAACACCAGCTGAGAAATATAATCAACTAATAAAAAAAATATCTCACAAAAGTTGACGACATTCTGCATGCACATATGCACACGTGTAGTAGTATATTTAAGCAAAGTCTAATTTGTAAGTTTATTTATTAACAGCGGCATGTATAGAGATTTATTTATTATCGCATGATCTGTACAGTTTCGGGCGAAACTGTGGATGTGGATTGAAAGAAAATACATTCCTTTGGGCTCTATGCCAATATTCATAATAGTTATTGTTTTTCTTATTGCGAAAATATATATCATTCAGGATTTTTTGTTCGATTACGCAGAGTCTATGCTTACGGTCGTACCTCTAACATCAAGAAAAAATGTTAGAATAAATGGAATTAATTTTTATGCATATTACGCAGTTGGACAGTTATGGTCATCACAATTAATTCACTTTACACTCATTCACGTTTGTGACGTCTTTACAGTGAAGTCATCAGGTGAATGAGAAACTACTGGACTTTAAATTTGATTTGTGATTATGAATAAAGTCATATGTACATTACATTTTTATTCCGTAAGTTGATATTAACTGCTTTAGAAGGTTCAAGTGCACGACAATGTTGTTAAATCAAATTTTCGCAGTATTTCTTTTTTGTGTCTCAAAATCGAGTACTGGTTTATTATTAGACTCAGACTCAAGGTAAGTACGTACGTATACGCACAATTGCATATTTGAATATTTTAATGCAACGCAAATCGTGGTGGCGGGTAAATGAGAAAACATATTTTACGTTTTGTATGTGTGTGTGTATGTGTGTGTGTATATGTGTTAGTGTGTGTGAATAAAATTTCTATTATACGCATTCATCCTTGTTAGTAAGCTATAAGTGAAAAAGTATCAAACTTTTGACTTTGAATGACTAATATATAAAAAGCTAATTACCGGCAGAGTTGCTTATAATTACCGTCACTTACATTCTTCTCTCTCTCTCATTCGGTTGCATAAAACTGTAAAGAAGAAGCATCTAAAGCTGCGTAATGTAGTGTGCAGCAATCTAAGCCTTATATCCATTAAAATTCAACGCACATCATAAGAAAAATAAATTCCATAGAAATTAGTAAATGATTTGATCTACCACATCAGGGATGGGCAACTGTTCTCATCAAAGTGAAAAATCTTCATTTTCAAATCACGGCAGATGCCAGCACAAATTGAACGGATTAACGAAAAGATGAAAGTTAAAATATATAATAAACTTATGTATGTAACGTAATGAGCACAACAAACATACTAAGCGAATTTCAATGCGACGGATTAAATTGGGAGCGTTCCTAATTTTTTATTACATCACAATTAGGATGCAATTCGCTGGTAGTTGTTTGAAGAGCTCTTTTAAATTTTCATCTGTTTCCAGCTTTGCCTCCAACTATGCTTACGAATCGTTTCTTTTATGGCCCAATGATCAAGAAATAATACTTGAACACATTTCATATTCAATACCTGCACAGCTCAGCCAGTGGTGAAAGTGAAGACACAATCCTGTTGCAGCATTGACATTGGTGAACAAATCCAATTATTTGAAATTTCATCCCTCGAACCGATGTTTGCCCATACGTGTAGTGCTCGGTACACGGATAGTTCGCATAGCATAGCATTTTGTTAACTGCAGCGACGCATTTTAAGCTGTCTAAACATTTTTTTCACACTGAGAAATACTTTTATTAAATTTTATAATAATTCAATACATAATTACACAATGGGAACATAGATTATATATATAGGTCATTGAGTAATAAACAAAATAGGTAAAAAAATTATACTTAGCCGCGTTCTAGTCTTTTACACTAATCATCGCTTACTGGTGCTCAATAATACAGGCACTCTTTACAGTCTCTGAAGCTTCTTTCTAAGTGATGTAGACGCTTTGACAAAAGAACGACATTTCAATGTTCCTAAGACCACCCGATTTGTATCGTGCTATCTGCTGTCGTTTGCAAGTAACAAGCAAACAACCATATTTTTTTATTCTTGAAAACAGAGGTAGTGTCAGGTTATGTTGTACTATGACCATGCCCTTTGACCGATTTGAAAGAAGTTCCAATCTTTGTACCAGATCTGAAGCTAATGGTCGCATTTTTGCCATCTGGAGAATAATTTGCACAGGCATTACACAGCACAGCCAGACAGCCAGACGGACACGCTTAAGCACGCAAGAATATATTTACTTTAAATGATCTATGAAGTTTCCTTCTATGTGCTAAAAATGTTTTCATGAAATCAATATACGCCTCCTCGTTCGGTGAGGGGTATAAAAAAACGTTTACCTCTTAATCCTAATTAATCGCACCTATTAAGTAGGTATGCACGGTCGCAAAGCACTTTCAGCAGTCTCTTCCAATTTAGAGATAGGGCAAAGAAGCTAAGAGTGGAAAAACAACGACGACGAATACAAAGGCGAAATTTGACTTTCAGCTGAGTGATTATCGCTCTGATATGAAACTTTTTCTGCTGCTGTGTTCACCAATGGAAAGTCTTTTTTCACTGTACCTGGAAAAGAAGTTAAATGATTTTTACCTAATCCTAAATTCAAAACACGTTTGGCATGCGTACTGCATATTCATGCTGTCGAAACGTTTGCCACACGCAGAAGCAAGCTTCGAAAACCCCATAAGGGATATAAATTTTCTGCCAGTTTCAAATTCGGAATTCGGCCATCTGTCCGCTCTCGCTCGCAAATGTATGTGGTCCACAAATTTGCAAAAGAATTTGAAAATGACCCAAACCAGTCAAAGGCCACGTCTGCAACGCAAACACGGCTATGCAGCAAAACTAGTGAACACTTTTGCTTTCCGCCTCTCTGGGTGGAATCAGCCGCTTCCACCCAATATTATAGAGGGTGAAAATTCGCTATTTTTCCTTTTTATTTTTTTTTTTTTTAGGATAAAGATGATGGGTATAAAAAGGCATTTTTCACATTCGGATTTTGAAACCAAATCAAAGAAAAGGAGAATGTCATCTGTGTATCATATATTTTCTATATAACATATCACTCAATAAGGTCGCAGAGTGGAATAAAGATGCAACGTCTATCCATGCATCCGTATGATTATTTTTAGTTGACATCAATCTTCGAGCGGAACGTGTCAAAATTTCAAGCAAGTGACCATTACCCCTGAAGCTATTTAAAAGTGGTCCGGATGATGTATTAACATTTTTAGATTTGCCTACAACAACAACTAAAAAGAAAATATATATAACGCAAGGGAAAGCAGAAGTAATCCTTTGAATTTTTCTTAGTACTTCAATTAAACGCTTGTGTTAATTTCTATTTAGACGAATACGGTGCTATTTACTTGTCCATGGCTGTATACTTTGTTCAATTTTGACTAATTAGATGTTTTCATATCAAATCGGCTACATTAAGGTATACTAAATACTTTCACTAGGTGTTTGTTGTGTGTTTAAACAAAAAAAAAAAACATTTCCTATTTATGGACTGATTTTTGATATTTTCACGCCCAATGCCAAGTAGGAATTGAAGGAAAAACATCAAAGAAAAATTTTATTTTTTATTCCATTGACAGTAAACTTGATTCTTCTTCGATAATGAACTATGTTAACGTTCACCCTCGAGGATCAATTTATGTAAGAAAGAGAAGAGATAACGATCAAGATGATGTTAAGTGGTCAATCATCAATGAGGAAGTGGATACTGTTGTTCCATTAGTATTGCAGCATTTGAAAAAAATGCGAGTGGAACATTTATTATTGCCCGATATAATGGAAAATATCTCTGTGGTATGTAGTTTTCCTTTGTCAGCGCTAATTAGTCACATCACATTCATTGTTATAATTTCAGACGCCCTTAGTCCTTACTTACAACACCGGAATCTATTTAACAAACGGCATTGCCTACAACCTGGCAGGTATACATCGACATGGTCCCGCTTATATGACTTATGAGAACGGATCGTTTCTGGTGCGATTCTATTTGAATGTGAGAAATTTACAGGTATAAAAATATTATCATCGATTATCAACGACTTTCATTCTCGTAAACAGTTATTGCTCCGTTCATTACTTAGCTAGGTTCGAGGCACTCATGCGTGCTTTAACGAGAGTACAGCTTTCTTTTTCTTCTCTTTTTGCGCTTTTAGTTCGAATATGAATTTTTGCTAAAACTGCTGGCTCTCGAAGGGCATGGCAAAGTAATAGGCTCATTAGAAGATACTCTTGTCTACATGGATCTGGGAATCGATGTCAAAAGTCTGAAAATAGTCGTTTATGATTTCCGCGTCGTAAACTTTCGGTACACTTGTTATACTTTATTTGTAAGAAATTTAACTACGTTTCTATTTTCAGTAATATTCAAGTTCAGTTAAATGAAGCCCGATTTATTCGAGATTTGTCAGGATTTATTTTGACGCCATTAACTAAGCTCTTTAAAGAGAGCATTACGACATCTATATCTGACAATTTAAAAGAACAAATGCAAATGGTTATGGACGACTTTAATAATGGTGATCCATTGGAGCTTCAAAAATTTGTTAAACAAGTTCTTGGAGGTTTAACAGGCAACCAAAATCATACGCAATAAGTAAACGTAAATACTTTATTCTCTATTTATATCCTCGGAGTACGGTAAATAGCACTATCATTATATAGATTATTATGTTGGATTGGAAATATATAGTTACTTTTTAATATTTTTCTTTTTTATTGAGAATACATTTACTTTGTTTACAGTACGCCGAGGGGTGCACTCGAATTCTGGTTAGGTTTCACAAGCAAAGGCAAATAATGTGCTCAGGAAGTGGTTCAAAAATTCATTAAAAATAATCTCCAAATTTACTCTTCAAATTTTTGGCTGTAAGACAATTTCTTTCCTCCCGCATGAGCTTAACGAGCTCCCTAGAAAAAAGTTTGTTATTTCTTACCCTGGCATAAACACGCTGGCATATACAGCAAAAAGTACAATTGGGGAGATACCGCGATCAGAAGTCGGTCGCTGTATGTCCAACTACTAGTAGCAGACTTTATAGCAACAAAAAAAGCCAACTGAGCCCATAATAATCAAAGAAATGCTGCATTTGATCCAAATGCGAAAGTTGTGCTGGATATATCAGACACATCTACACGTAATAAGCGATTGTTAATAAGAAGCAATGAATTGCTGCGAAATTAGTTTTTATTCCTAACTTTCACTTAAATTTTTATCACTATCCCTTTTTTGGAAAATATTTAGTTTTTCATCTTACACAATTTTTTAAATTTGCGGACCATATTCCCAAGTTTCGCCGCGTATACTTCCTTAAGCGATTTTGTGAGATGCATACCCACGAGGTGGCAAGACGACAGATAAATATTAGAGTCCATTATGGTAGCTCAGAAATGGCTTGCCTTAACAAATAGGCGGTTGGGTGCATATGACGTTTATCTTACTACCATTGTTGGTATTTATAATGGAATTACATTTCCGGAAATTTTTATTAAAAGCTTCCCTTTGACACTGAACAGAATGCACAAATAATTTGATGACGCGTTGATCGGATTAGCGGTTACAAACTTTCGCTTCTTTAAAGGATTTAAATTTCAAGCGAGCGTATAGACCATAAATCTGCTTGTTTTTTTGAAACATGGAGATGCATCAGCATAAGGCATATTTGTGAGTAAATAACTCGCGCTTGTCAGCTTATATTTAATTAATTTTCCGTGTGTCAACATTCGATAATGAAATTACATCTGCAAACCTTGCAAAAGAAAAATTGTTTGTGCAGTCGTTTCATTCTACTTTGTTCGCTTTTTTAGTAAAAGTCATAGATTTAAGGTTGTTTTTTTTACGACTCTTCATTTTCCTGCCTGTTATTTATCATTCACAATAGTGGAAGAAGCTTCACCATATAATCAACTTGCAATCAATTCAAATCAACGCAATGTAATTGTAAGCACTCTTTAGGAAATGTTGCCTTCTTAAATACGTTCCGTTAAAATTGAAGTTTTTATTAAAATTCCAAGTTGTACGGTTTGCAAGTTGGGAAAGGAAGCGAATCCTGTTCTCGTGGCATCTTTGACGAATGGCTATCATTTACGAGAGCACCAGTTTACGGTTTTTTGCAAATTATTAGGAGCGAATTAAAGAATTGGAGAATTTAAGCCTAACATTGATGTCAAAATTTAGGCACTAGAAAGTGAGAAAGAGAAAAATGTACACAACTCTAAAATCGATTTTAATATTTCCACTATCTTTTGAAATTTTCAGTTAAAAGTAACGTATTATAAAAAAGGATAAAAGATCAGATTTTTCTCAAATGAATTGAAATTTTTTTGAATTTACTATTCCAATATGGTACGGGGGTGTGGATTTACAAGAATAGGGAAATTTTTCAAAATAAAAAAAACACTTTCTACGAATCTTTACCAATTTGAAATACAAAATGTTGGAACAGGAAACAGGAAGAAAAAGATTGCGGAAACTAGTGAGCTCGCTTTGCGCCTGTCGTTGATTAGGAATCTTAAACGTACATTATAACATATATTTATTTATTTATAAATCTTTTTGAATATGACGGTGTGTGTTCGTGTTGTGCGTGTGCGTGTGCATGTGCGTGTGTGTTGATGATAGGGTGGGGGAGGGTTGTATTCATATATTCTAAAGCACTTGTTTTGACGATTGGTAGTATTTATTAAATGCTTTGTTTATATTATTCAATATATTCATAGGCAGCAGTAACATGATTTAAATAGACATTTCAGAGATGAAAAATTTCATTGATTTTTGAATTTATTGTAGATAGAGGCGGCTCTTACATAATGTTCGTTCAAATAAATTGAACGAACGCTTGCTTATTGTTGTCGGCCCCAAACGGCCCGAAAGCAAACTTGTCCACTTTGGTTGTTGACTTCTTTGTTGATGTCGACTGTTTTTTTTTTTCTTTTTGCGAATAAAGGAATAAATAAAATGATGAGGGAGACGAGGACATCTTGGCGATTTAGAGAAAACTATGTAATAAGGCATTGAAATATTTTCTTATTCGTAATATTATCTTTTCATTTTAGCAAAATCGAAGTTGAATACGGAAAGGAAATCACACGGCTGTATTTTTTTCTCAGTTGGCTTTTATGTTTGTTATATGTATCAAATCGTTAATATAAATATACAAATACGAGAGGTGACGACTTCTACGAGCATTCTTCCTGACTCTTTCTTACGCAACGTGCCACTTTCCTTTTAAATTCAGGATAAGATTCTCTCCATTCCTTAGCAGCGTCAACATTTGCTGGCGATTCGTCATTTGGATCTGCCAACATTGATATCACTGATATCAAAATTGTTTCCACCGTATGCACGGGCAGCCAACGTTCGGAGGCCTTCTCATAGCCCCATTTGTCGTCTCCGGGTTCATGTAGTATAGAAATACAAACATCACCGTTTTTCTCAATATTGGGATGCCATATTTCTGTAACAAACTTCATTCGAGGTGGACGCAGTGGATATTCTTTTGGGAAGTACAAATGAGCCTTAAAAAATCCACCTTCACTGTAAATGTGAATAAGTATGAAATCTTTTGTTTTGCTACTGCACCACTTCAAATTGCAAACATTGGAGAATCAAAGTTTTCTTTTAATTATTTATTATTTTTTTTATTTTATTTTTTTGTGAACATTTTTAACTTACGATTTTCTGTTTACAATTGAACACAGTGCAGTTAGTTAATGATAATTATAGGTAATACATCCAACTTACTAAAGTGTATCCGGAGGGCCAATAATAAGTACTTCCCATCTAAAAATGTCATTTTCATCAATTAAACCAGCTGAAAATCCCTCAACTGGATTCTTGTTTAATTCTGAAAAAGGAAAAAAATGTGAAAAAAAAAAAATTACTTATTGAGTATAATTTTTAAAAATGAATTGAAATGTAACATGAATAAAATCAATCGGCTTCATTTAAGACACGATCAAGGCAAGAAGTAGGAAGAAGCACAAAAATGAGCTTACTATTAGAACGAAAATACATTGTATCGCAATCGCATTCTACGAATTCTGCGTAAGTCCTTAATGTCAAGAAAATGAGCCCAGAATGCAAAAGCAAAAATCTTTCTTATCGAAAGAAAGCATAAGAATGTCTTTTCAACGTGAATTGTAATAAATTTGAAGGAAGCCATCTCACACTTCCTGCGCACATTTTTCTCATATCGAAGGAACTGATTTGCTTCATGTCTTTGTTTAATGAAAAGATTAGACTAGTTTTTCCTTCTTCTTCTATGCTCGTTGAAATAACTTTTGTGTTGTTGCCAAATCACAACACTTCGTTCGTAATAAAAATAAAATATTCTTCTAATAGATAATCTTATATATGCATCTACGATTAAGCTAACCGCCAATTTTATTAAGGTACAGACAAAGAGTGTTCATAATCAATTTTTTTATGCTCAACTCGGTGAAACGTCTGGTGTTAATTTGCTGACTCCCAAAAGAAGAAAAAGAAGAACAAATGCATCTTGGAATCCTAACGAAAGCGGGGATTAGTTTGAAACCGGATCTAGTCTAGAAATTGTGGGCCTCTTTGAGTGAGTCAGTTAGCTGAGTCGCGGAATCTATTTTTGCTTTCTTGCAGAAAGAGTGTTTACATATACTTTTATGTCGATGTCTGTCATACGCCCATAAGTTATTTACAATAACTATTTGAAATTTTCTTGCTTTTTTTCACTTTATTCTTTTCAATTTTTTCAATTTTCAAACTAACTGCAATTAATATCAATGTTTTTTTTTTTTTTATTTGGAAGTTTCAATAATCCCTGATCCGCAGATCAAGTGATTTTCCATATATATGCAGATGTGAAGTATCAAAGGTAATCTAAAGATCAAAAAAGATAAGCAAATAATTGCAAGAGTTTCGGAAAAACTAGTGCAACTAAATGCATAAAGAAAAAACTCGT